TCTCCAGGGGGCACACTCACGCCCGAGACGGTCTCTTCTAAGCGGTCATCAACACTGAACGCTGGCAGAGCCGGCCATCTCAAGAACATTTCACTTTATCCCCATAACAACACAAAGAGCGTGTCATCGTGACTCCACACGTCACATACAAAGGAAGGGGGGCTCAGAGGGCCGAAGTAACTGGCCCAAGGTCACACAGCTAATCAGTGCCGAAACCAGGATTCGCAAGGCCCGGTGATTAGACTTCAGGCGGGTGTGAGGACACCACGCTCACCCTGGGTGTGGCGCCGGCTTCAGGACTCCCTGCAAAGGCAGGAGAGGGCAGCGGGGGTGCAAGAGGGAGGGCGTGGGGGGCGTGGAGGGGAAGCTGCAGGAGGAGGAAGGAGAGCTGAAGTCTCCAGGGGTTCTTGCAAGGAAGTTCCCAGGGACTCCCGCTGCCTCCCGGGGCCTTGGGACTGACTGACTGCTCACACAGGCAGGGGACCAGCCGCCCACGGCCCCACCCCATGTCCTCCTTCACACAGGGAGCCACGCAGCCCACTCTCCTGGGGCCTTCCGGTGGCTCCTCTGGGTTTCTCAGTGCATCGTTTCTGGGGGTTTACCTCCTCCAATCACCATCTGTCTCAGGGCCCCCCCCGCCCGCCCCCAGATTATGTGTGTCTGCCAGTGTCCCCAGGTCCTCGGAGGCAGAACTGCAGGGATGTTACAGGGTGGCACCTTGAAGGTGTATTTTCACCTCTCCGGCTGCAGGCCGTGTGTTTACTGGAACGTGCGTGTGGGTTGTGGGTGTGGGTGTGAGCTTTGTGCGTAGAGTGTGCAGCCTGTGTTGGTTGTGTGTGTGTACGTGATGTGTGTTGCGCTGCACACGTGTGGAAGGTATTGTTTGGGTGTGTGCCTCGGCTGGTTGTGCGTGAGTGGTGGGTGTTGTGCACGTTTTTGTTTGTGTGCATGGTGTGTTGTTTGGATGTGTGTCGGGTGTCTGTCGGTTGTGCGTGCGTTGTGTTGGTTTTGTGCGGGTTAGGTGTGTTTGTCGCGGTGCTGTGTGTGCATGCATTGATGATGTGCGTTGGCTGGTTCTGTGTGTGTGCGTGCGTGGGTGCATTTGCGGGTATGAGCTCTCTGTAGCACAGAGAGTTCAGTGCGGCCTCAGGCCCCGCAGGCGCTGCACAGAGCCGGGGCTGTGGGGCCGCAAGGCCGCGGGAGGGCGCTGCGGAGGAGGCAGGTCGGAGTGGTGAGAGGGTCCTCCCAGCCTGGAGCAGGGGTGCTGTGCGCTGCGGGAGAGGGAGGTGTCGGTGGAGCGAGAGTCTGGAGTGAGCCCTCCGAGGTGCCGTGGAGAATGGTCCTGAGTGGGGGGCAGGTTAAGGTGCTTGCAGGGACCGCCGGCCTGGGGGAGTATGCGGGCCGCGCCTCGGCGCGATTGGCTGGGAGGGCGGGGACGGAGCCGGGGAGGCCGCAGGGCCCCGGAGGCCCGGCCAGGCCGGCGCCAGCCGCCAAGTTGAAAGGCGGCCGAGGCCTCCTCTCGCTGCTTCCCATTGCGCCCCAAGGGCTCCAGGCAGGGCGCAGGCCCGGGCCAGGCTGGTTCACCTCCGGGCCGCGGGTCACTACGGGGGACATTTCGGGGCGTAGGGGGTGGAAGATGGAGGGTCAAGCACGTTCACAGCTTTACGGCCCTGAGATTCCCACCCGAGGCCTCGTGAGTCACTGCCTTCGCGGGGCTTCCGGCGCGACCTGGGCCTTCAGCCCCGCGGCCAGCGCGCGGAGAAACGAACCCTAAACCAAGGCGCTCTTAGCGCGAGCTCTGCGGCCCCACACCAGCCGCGCAGACCGACGCCCGCCCGCCCCCGCCGACCTACGCCCGGGGCTGGGAGCGCCCCAGGTCCCGGCTGCCCCGGTAACCTGTCTCCTCCCCGCCCGAGGTTCCACACCAGGGACCGCGGGCCCCTGTGGTGCTACCAGCGTGGTGAGAAACTGAGTTTGCAGAGGGAAGCTTCGGTCTCTCCCCACCCCCGCCCCCACACCCCCAACAAAACGAAAACGCCCTCGCAGAAGGCGTGCAAGGCAGGTGAGACGCTCTCTTTCCCCCGAGGGACCGGAAGGAGTGAGACTCCCAGAGCTAGGGCCGGCGGGTCTCCCGGCGACAGGCGGGTTTCCAAGGCCCCTTACCGCGCGCGCCACCCCCCGCCCCCCGGCCCCCCAAGCGCGCGGCCCCGGCCCTTTGCGACCCTCGAGGAGAGGTGGCTGGGCGGTGCGCGGAAAGCGTGGGCTCCGGAGCGGAGTCTGCGTTCCAGTCGCTCCTCTGCCTCTTACTGGCTCTGGGACCGGCGACAATCATGGAACCTCTCTGGTCCGCAGTCGTCTCCCTCGTAAAAATATCTCCGGGGCTTGTGGCGAGGCGGCGTGTGCGCGAACTCCCGCGGACGCGGTAGGTGGAGGCTCCGCGGGACGGACCCGGCGGTCCCTGCCAGCGGAGGAAAGGGGCCCGTAAAGGCCCGGGCCTGGGAACCCGTGCCCGCTCCGCCCGCGCTCGATAAACACGCAGTCGAGGGTGAAGGGCGGCGGTGGGCGGAAAGCAGCGCCCGGAGTCGCACGGCGCAGGCCCGCCAGCCCCGCGCGACCTCGCCCAGAGCCCTCATCGCCCCCCCGCCCCCCCCCCGACCCCAGCGCACCGCTCCCATCCAGCAGACACTTATTGAGCGCCTTCTGTGCGCACTCGCGGGCCAGAGAGGGAATTCGGAACCAGAAGGGGGCGGGGGTAAAGAAAAGGCTGAACAAAAAGAAATAAAAAAGATAAAACTAGGAGGCATAGAATTGGAAAGAAACCCGGACCCAAGACGCTCCATGGGGGCGGAGGCGGACGCGGACGCGGCGGGGTCCCAGGGCGGGGGGGGGGGGGAGGGGTGCTGCTACCCCCGCTGAGCCCCTGGGTGGGGGGAGGGGGCGCGCCAGCCTGGCCTGCAGCTACCGCCTCGCTGGAGCCGCGGTGCGTCTGCAGAGCGGGAGCCCGTGCTCATTACTGCAATTATGTTGTTCTGAATTTGCCTGAACCCTAAATTGCCAAGCTTCGAGGAGCCAGTAGGCCTGGGAGCCCCAGCCGGCGGAGATACCCGATCGTGGCCCGCCATTCCCCCCTGTCCCGTGCGCGCTGAAAGCACTCCGGTGCCAGGGACGCACCGTGAACTGAGAAAATTCAGATCTGATATTCCCTGGGCGCCCTCCACCTGGGGGCTCTCTGACCCTGCCCCAAAATTATGGGGGCGGAGGGAGGTAATTCCCAGGCCCATTTTGCAGATGAGAAAACTGAGGAAGGAAGGGGCAGAGGTGTTTTCTCTATCCAGAGTCGGGCAGTCAGTGGCAGGGCTGAGATGAACTATATCGGCTTGCCTGACTTCAAGGTCAATGCTGCTCCCAAGAAAGGAAAGGAACCCGGAAGATTTGTGAGAGCTGGGGTGTCCTCCACGTGGCCATTCAGGTTGCTTAGTTTATAGGGGGGATAAAAATTTTTTTACTGCATCTGCAAGCAGCAGCGATGTACCGCAGCCCCCACCGCAAGGGCGTGCGGGTCTGAGACTTTCTTTAGATCTAACTCTGGGCTCTTGGCGACCAAGAGGCCCGGATTCAGGTTCTGGCCGCACTTCTGGAAGCCCAGAGGGCGGTAGCTCCCCCAGACTATCTGGTGCCACGGACGACGGGCATTCCGCAGCAAGCTTCTTGTCTTCCCTTGGGAAGGGGAACTGTGACAAGTTCAGGCTGCAGCCCCAGCCACAGGGAATGGAAATCTTTGCCCGAGGAACTGAGGCTGAAGGATTGGAGACCCCGGTACCCTGGAACATGTCCAGCACCAGCTCAGGGTGCCTGCGCGAAACCCTCCGCTCTGGGAATTCCTAGGCGGACCTCGGGCCCCCAGCTATAACTACGCAGCGCGCCCCCGACTGGGTTTCCACACTGCGCAACGGTCTCTGTCTGTGGGGACGTCCACGCTCCGCAAGCCCAACGCCAGGTACTTAAGGTTTTAACAACCATCCGTCTGCTGGCTTGCAGTCCCAGTGGCTCGCCTTGCCGCAAAGGCTGCCCCGGGGGGCTGTTCTGCGTGGGGTTTGGAGGCGCCGGCCACTTCGAGACCGAAGTGGGGTGGTGAGGAGGGGCGTGCGCAGCTCTGGTGAGAATTAAGCCGGGGGGGGGGGTGCCCAACTCGCCGGAGAACAGAGCCGCGCCTGGAACCGAGTTGGCTGTATCCACGGAGAGGTCATTTTCTGCCTTCAGCATCCTTGCAGAATTTCCCCCAGAAGGCTAAGCTTGGCGCTCGCTCAAATATATTCTCCTGGAAAGCCTGAACTTAACCTTCTATATAAAAGGAAAACGAAGTTTGTGAGAGTTGGGAGGCCGGGCTCATGCAAAGGACAAGCCAAGGCGGGAAGCAGTCGGCCTGGGTTTTCGGCATTTTTTTTTTGTTAGGGGTCATAATTGGGGGTGTGAAAGCGCTCACATTCTGGCAGCTCGAAATTAGTTCCACAAATCCGGTCTACACCGGCGCAGTGATTTAGAGACGCAAAGCAGCGCCTCCCCATCCCCCACCTGGCCTCCTGTGGGAAAACCAGGTCTGCGGGGGTGGGAATTGTCTGGATTAGCCGTCTGCAGTCATCAAACCATTTGGGTGATTCGCTTTGTTTTCACGGACAGGTTAAAAGGGGAGAAAAAAAAAGAAAGTAGGTTCTGGGTCGCCTGAACCAGTGTCGATTTCAGCTTAAAGTGAATTGGAAAATTGAGCCTAATTATCCTAGGTAATTGCTTCAATTCTCCACTTGACTTTGCTAATGCGGATCTGTCCTGTGTGTTCGGCGAGACACCCCCCCCCCGTCCCCGAACATCCTGTTGTCGCCTCAAGAAAGCTGCCGGGGTGCAGCGACCGCCACACGAGAAAGCCCTCGTTTACCTGAAGAGACTGGCGAGGAGTACAATCCCAACGAAACGCTAAATCAGCACCGAGGTCGTGTCTTGTAGCTTAAAATTAATTTATTTAACAAATATAGCTATAATATAAATGATAATAAAATTTCAAATATACAGTATATTACACCCGATCCCTTCCAAAGGGATTCATTCTCGAGAGCCACACCAATGCACTGTTAAATAGAAACAGAATTTTACTTTTTATTTTACAATTTTTTCTTTCTGGTACTGCTAACAGAGAGGTCCCTTCCACCTTCCTCCGTAACGCATCTGCGTGCCCCCCCCACCCAAAACCAATGTCTTGCGAGGTTCTAAGTGCTCCAGGGGAAGGACCAGGACCCCTCGCTTCGTCGGAGTGCTCTTGTCTCCTGCTGTTCTCCTTTCCAAACTCTCCCATCGAGAGTCACTACTCTGTGCTCTCCCTGCCTGCTGCCAGGGCGGGAGGCAGCGATGCTGCGGAAGCGGCCTCTGCGCCTGGTCCACCCAGCTACTCTGCCGGGGACCAGGCGGATCCATTTCTTAACCTCTCTGTCCTCAGTTTCCCCACCTGTAACACGAGGGGCGGATCTAGATTCTAGAAGAGAAGGGGCCCTTCCAGTCACTTTCTGGGAAAGGAACGGACTTCAGAGAGTGAAGTCAGGGCGCCACGGAGGAAAACCCAGAGCAGTGTGGGGGCTAAAGGGAAGGGGGACCAGGCGGGGCCAAGCAGGGGAGCTGGCGGGGTGGGGGGGGCCCTGCCGCTTGCAGAAGATCAGAGCTGGAGGATGTGGCTGGTGCCACGGGCGCCACAGGCAGGCGACCCTGGGCCCTCTATGTCAGGTGGTACATGCTGTAGCCTACGTGGGCCGTGTAGAGTCCCACGGGAGCCACGGGAAGCGCAGCACGCTGGAAGGGGCCAGAGGCGCCGTAGAGCGAGGCGCCCGCGGCAGCCGCCACAGCCGCGGGGCCGCCCAGCGGGAAGGAGAGGCCGAAGGCGGCCGGGGGCAACATGGGCTTGGCGGCCATCTTCAGCTTCTCCAGCTCTGCCTCCTGCAGTCTCTTGGCCTTGGCGCGGCGGTTCTGGAACCAGATCTTCACCTGCGTCTCCGTGAGGCTGAGCGAGCTGGAGAACTCCGCGCGCTCCGCGATGGACAAGTACTGCTTCTGGCGGAACTTGCGCTCCAGCGCCAGCAGCTGCGCCGTGGTGAAGGGGGTCCGCGGCTTGCGGTTGGTCTTGTGCTTGCGCAGCGTGCAGGCCGGCGGGCTCAGCCGCCCTAGGGGGCCGAGAGAGAGAGAGAGAGAGAGAGAGAGAGAGAGAGAGAGAGAGAGAGAGTGAGTCAGGGGGTTAGGAGCGAGGGAGCATCACCCACCCCAAATAATAATTCATAGTTGATAACAACGCTGGCTATTCATTGTCGACGTGGCGCTCCTTAAGAATTTCCTCCAATTCCCACCACAACCCTGCAGGGCAGACGCTCTTAGAGTCTACTTTTGGCAAATGAGGAAACTAAGCTTTCAGGTGAAACAAACCCACGTTGGAGGCGAGAACGTAACTGGGCAGCGGTGCATGGGCCTGGGTGCTGGATGGCCACTGAGGCCTGCGGCAGCGGGGCCTCCTGCCACCGCCAAACGCAGTGGGGCCGCTGAGGGAACACGGCTGACGACACACGCAGAAAGGGGCCCTGCACCCGGCCCAGGGTCACACTTAGTGTTGTGTGCCCGCTGAACACTGGCCTGTGCCCAGGCGCCCCGCATGGCGCTAGGCCCCTGCGTGAGGGAATTCAGCTCTCCAAATCCCACTCTACCTGCACGGGCTGGGTTCCCACGGGGCCCTAAGGGCAGTCCCTGAGGCTGCAGGGGGAGCAGGGCCTGCTGTCACGGAGGGCACACCGTGGCCAAGAGTCTTAGATACGTAAAGCGCCAGGGCAGGGCGAGGACTTCATTCTAACGGGCCTTCTAAGGCCCTCTGGGTACCTGACCTGTGTCTTGAGCCTCTCCCAGCCCCAGTGCCTTCGCCCTCAGGTCACACTCAAACGTGGGGCTGAGGAAAGAGGGGTGTAACAGCTTCTGGCTTCTCCTCGACCCGGGGCTCCGTCCGCAGACACCCACAGTGCGGAGCAGTCTTTCTCTCATGGCTTCAAAACAGACCTCAAGGCTGGGCGGTGAGCAATACCCAGGCAGAGGGCTCCGGCAGGTCCAGAACTGGGTCCGCTGGTCCAGCTAAGGCCTCCACGCCTGCCGGTGGTGGCCGACTGAAACGTGGAGCAAATTATACCCAGGACAACGGGGATCCTGCCAACGTGAGGGTCCAGGGCGAGGCCTTGACCGAATTCCCAGGTCCCGGGAAGGACGTTTTGCCTATTCAGCAACTTCCCTCTGGGGGCACATGAATTCAAACGTGGAATGTTTCACCATGCGGGTTTTGCCTAATTGTGCACTTTTTCATGCCTTAAACAAACAAGAAACAAACGATCCTGTGGGCTCTCAGACCACCAGGGTGTGAGTCAAACGAACTCGCGTTCAAGTCTCTCCTTCTGCGCCATGCGAACCGGGAAGCACTGGGAGTCCCCCGACTCAGTTTCCGCGGGGCCACCCGAGGGGCGGGCCCCCCTCTTTCCGCAAGGACAGCCTAGCGCTGCGCCACCTTCTGTAGCCATTAGGCCCAGGGAGGGGCTGGCCTTTCAAAGACGTTTAATCCCCAGATAAAAATCATTCCTCAGCATCACGCCATTGAATTCGGGTTGCTATTATGCCGCGCAAAATAATCGGAGGAAGCGAGGAAAACTTGGGAATTTCCCGTGCTCCTGAAATATCTTCCAGCCCGTTCCCTGGGCAGAAACGCCAGGGGCCCGCAAGGCCTCGGAACGACCCCGAAAGCGCCTTTGGTGGCCCGAGTCCGCTTTACTGGCCCAGTCACAACGTTCGGGCGCTTCCAACCGGATCGGAGGGGGCGCCTCCCACTAACTAACTCGGTGCCCCGCCCCTCCTCTGGACCTGAGCGCCCCCCTCCCCCTAACCCACCCAGAGCAGCAAGAATCCGGCTGAAACCTGAAGGCGGGAGGGGGGATTTTGCGAGAGCTTCAGAACCCTCTGGCAAAGAGATACTTTAATTGGGGGTGGGGGGAGACATCAGACTTCTGCTATGAGAAAGTGAAACTCCGCGTGCATGAAAGACGTCCGCGCCACTCGGACCCCCACCCGGGGGGGTAGAGACGCAGCAGGGTCGGACACGGGAGCATGGACTCGGGTGGTTGTCTGGTGGGGGCAGGAGGACACGGTGATCTGACACGTGAGTTCTACAAGTGAAGCCCCAGCCGCAGGGTCGCCTGGCCAAGAACAGGAGCCCACGACAGTGGACCCAGCGCTGGGCCTCCGCCAGGCCTCGAACCACCTTCCTGGGTGGAAGTAGTGAATGCGCAAAGCCCGACCTCCCAGCCAAAGTGTCGACAGCACCGGCTCCAGGTACGGGCAGCAGGTACGGTAACGCCGGAGACAAGCAGGCGCCAGCGCGCGGCCTGGCGCCCGGGGGCCCCGCATCCCCGCCCGGTCCCCTCCCCCGCTGCCTGGTTCTGGCTACTCACTGGCCGGGGGCGGGGAGAAGCGGGGATTCTGCATCCACGGGGTCCTCTCGGACTTCTCCGGACTCTCGGCTTTGACGAGTGCATCTTCTGGCAGCTTGAGGAGTCCTCCCACTGAGAAATGGCCGAGTGGCCGCGGCGAGGACGGCGCGTCCGGGGCGCCCAACGACCCGGGCCGGGCGCCCAGGGGCTGCGCCGAGCCGCCAGCTGCCTGTGCACTCTCGGAGGCCACCAGGGCGCTCTCCTTGGCCCCGGGCTTCCTGTGGTCGGCCATGAGCGCCTCCACGCTGAAGGGCAGGAGTGAAGGGGACACTTTGGGCTTGGCCCCCTCCTCGTCCATGCCCATGGCGGCCGCCGCGGCCGTGGTGGTGCTGGGGGTCTGGCCCCCGCCGCCCCCCGCTGGCTTGCCGAAGGCAGAGTCTTCCACTTTGACACCGAGTGGCAAAGAAGTCATGTCAGCAGCCGGGGCCATGCAGAGCCGGGCCCCCCCTCCAGCCGCAGCACGGGCCAGCCTCCGAGCATGGGCTTCGGGCGGGCCGGGAGCGCGGCCGGCCTCTGGAAGCGCCCGGGGCCCAGGCCGGGCGGGCCCTCGCGCGCGCGCGCCTCCCGCCCCTCCCCAGAAGGCCGGCTCCGGCGCTCTGGGCCTGGCTCTCCGCTGGCGCCGCCGCACAGGCCGAGCTCCCGAGCGCACTAGCCGGCTCCGGGTCGGGCGGCCGCCTTCCAGAGAACTTGTTAATAAGGCGAGGCCAGCGCGGCGGCGGCCAATCAGCGCGCCCGGGGGCGGGCCCGGCGCCCTCCATTGGGCGAGGCTCCTGGATTTGCCCCGGGGCGCGCTGGACTTGGGGGCGCTCCGGGGAGGGCGGGGCCGGGGAAGCGCAGGGGAGGGGAGGGTGCGGGAAAAACTTTCCCGGGCGCTGCAGCCGCGGGGTTGCCGCTCTCCGTCTGGGTCGCCTCGGGGCCCTACTTTTCCTGGGGTCCTGGAGGCCTCCCCTTGTTCCCGCTCCTTCTCTTCTGCCCTCCGCTTCCCTAGTCGCCTTTCTTACCCTTTTTTCCCCTCTAACCCCTGCCTGTTTTTCTCTTCCACGGCTCTTCTTAACCTTTCTCTGCAGTCAGTTGCTCCGTTTTTCTCTGGCCGGCCCCCCCCACCCCCACTACCTGCTTCCCCTCTTCCCCACCACGGCCCTTGGAGTTGCGCGTGTCAGGGCTGTGGAGGGCGGGCTGCCGGTGCGGCTAGGCCGCTGGCGGGCCGGGGGCCGGGGCCAGGCGGCCGGAGCAGGGCCGCATGCTAGTTGCGGGGATAAACATACACATAAACATGTATTACATATAGCTTTAAAACCTGCATACTTATTCTAACGGAAAGACATATTACTTGTTTTTTTTAAAAAAAAACACCTTCATTTTCCTACTCTACGTCCATCTCCGCCAAGTTTACCTCTGCTTACAAGTGGGCCTCTGTCTCCCTAAGCGCTGGACTAAAGTTTGCCTGGGGAAGCCAGGCTCCTGGCGCTGTGGATGTTAAGGGTAACAATAGACAATATTTATCTGGAATCAATAGTCAATGTTCATACATGGTGTGTCCTTCCCCCGCCCCCCCGCTCTGAACTTCTCTCAGGGGGATTACACCACCTCTCCTGCCCACCCGACCCGACCGACCAGGGAAGGAGCTGCCGGGCCCTTTTGATACAGAACTTACTGAAATAAAACCAACAGGAACGTCAACAAAACCCTCCTCTGGCCCCAACGTGACCTCAAACAGAGCGTCCGCGGAAACAATAACAGTTCCTATCTCCGGGTCGCCCCTCGTGGCGTGGGGGAGGGGGCCGGGTGGGGAAAGAGGCCAGCCAGCTCCTGGCGTGGGTTCTTGGGGCTGCGCTTGAAAAACGTATTTTTGCCAGTTTCGGGGGAAACGTGATTTCATTTTTGTTGTTAAAAAAAATAGAGGAAAATGAGTTGGGGGGCGTGGGGAGAACGGAAAATCCGTGCAAACCCCAGCCAGGGCTCGACCTGTTTTCTGCGCCACCGGCTTTACGGCCTCGCATCCCAGGGCCCAAGCCGGCGGCTCCCGGAGAGCCAGCGGCAGTGATTGGCGGCTCCCCGGGACAGGCCATTGATGACCGCGGGGTTCTAATCTCCAGGAAACACAGGGGCTGCCGTGGCCATTTAGGGGTAATTATCCGAGCGCGGAGGGACAGCGAATTCCCTCGACTTTTAACTGGGCGCAATAAAAGCTGTAGATTAGGGGCGTCCAGATTAAGGAAAATGAATTACTAGAGCGGGAACTTTATTACCCGGACGGCGTCCGGGGTCTGGCGGGAGGGGTCGGGCTGCAGACGCCAGGGCGATCAGCAGCCTCACATCTGTCCGCAGGCTCAGAGATAGGGTAAGGCCCCGGGGCGGGTTCGAGAAGACTGGCATCTGTGAAACGCACGCCGCCTCTCCAGATCTCTTACACACCCGAGACTGCAGCGCAGGCTCTGGGCTTGGAGCCTGCAGCTCGAGGAGGGCCCAGCTGGGCGCGCGGTGCGCCGAAGCGGCCGGTCTGCAACGCCGCCGGGCCCCTGGGGCACAAGGAGAGGTTCCTCCGGGCGGGGAAACCCAGGCCGCGGAGGTACACCCGAGGGTGCAAGGAGGGAAGGCGGTGCAGTCCCGTTACAGAGCCGAGCGCTGCAACGCTCAGCCAGGCTGTAGGCCGAACACCTTGCTGGCAGCCCAGCTTCTGTCGCTGGCATTTCCAATTAAACTGCCGCTAGATCAACCCCCTCCACCCCCTGCACGCGGGATAAAGGAACCCGAGGCCCCTCGGCTTCTTGGGTCAACGTTTACAGAGCGCGCTGGCTTGGTCTGGGCCTCGCCTCCCATCTCGAAGTGTTCGACTCCCCGATCACTTTGAGGATCCGACATAAGCAAGAACTTGCACCCTAGAAAAATGCACTTCAGACAAAACAACTTCAGGGGCGCTGGGCACACGTGAAGTCACCAGTTAAGAACCTTTCCGTCAGGGGAGAGACCAGGGGCTGGAACCTCAGGATGGGCCGCGAGGGGCAAAGGGTCTCGGGGATGTCTCGGGCGGCCGGCCGGCCGGCCGGTGCAGCCAGGCCAGTCTCGGGCTGGGGGCCGGCCGGGAGGCGGGAGAAGGGCCGCATGCTAATTGCGGGGATAAACAATCTGTCACGATCCCTCAGCGCGCCTAATAGGCAGACGAGGATGTTGTTTTTAGGCGCCAGCGGCGGCCGGATCAAAGGCAGCAGCCGACACAGGGGCCCTTGAAGTCCAGCCCCCGCCTCCCGGGAGCCAACCGCCTGCACCCGCAGCCCCCGGCCCCGCCGCCGGCCCCCAGGCATCCCCGGGCCGGGCCGGAACCGCGCGGCATCTTTTTTAGGTTCGGTCTGGGTTCGTGTCTGCTCTGGCCCCGCTGGGCGGGTGGGCCGCGGGCACGCGAAGCCGGGAGACACGAGGGAGAAGGAAGCCGGAGGAGGCCCCACGTGGACTCCCCGCTCAGGATGGCAGGGGCCTCCCTCCTCCGCGGACCTGCAGCGGGGCCGCGGGAAGAGAAAAAAGATGCTCGCGTTCCCACGGAAGGGAAGCTGGAGGGAAGACACGAATGTCCACGCATCTCCCGGGCGTGTCGTTCCCACGGGAGGAAACGCACAAGTTTGGGGGCAGTGAGCGGGGCACTCTGCGCGTGTATTTTTTGGCTGGGCCTTTTCGGGTTTCCAGGTTGCTGGGTTCCGGGAGCTGACGCCGCTGGCGGCTGCGCCTGTTATCTCGCCGCCAGCACCCAGCCGCGGGCGCTCCTCCCCGCGCCCCGGCGGGTCTCCACGCCGCCGCCGCCGCCGCAGCCGAAAAGGCTCGGCTGTAATTCACGCCTGGCAAGGGCAGGGCTGGCCCGCGGCAGATAAAGCTCCGCGCCTGGGCTCGGCTTCCATTCTCCCGCTCCGCTCCCGCCTCTCCCCGCTCCATCCTCCCCCCCAGCCCGCCCTCGGTCGGGCATCTGAAAGCACTCCCGTCCCCCAGCCGAGCGCCTGGGCACCTGGGATCAAAAAGGCGGATTGTCCTGCGTCCACTCTCTGAACAATTAAACTAGTGCCCCCCCCCCAAAAAAAAACCCGCTTATGTTAAGAGGGTGTGCGGCGGCGGCGGAGGAAGAGTGGTGGTGTTTTTTAAAAACCCCCCACGCCCTATGAAGGTGAATTTTTAGAGCGACCCCATCCTACACCGTTGTCACTATCAGGGCATTGCCGGACGGACTGCGCGCTGGCCCCTCACTTGGGCATTCGCCGTCGCCTCCGTTGGGTTTTTGTTTACGCCCCTCCCCCCCTTCCCAGTGCATTTCGTGGCCTCGACCCAGGAACCCCGCGTGCATTTTTTAAAATGCGCAGCTCAGTGGGATCCGCGGGCAATTAGCGAGCCCCGAACAGCCCTCTTTAATAGAATGAATGTGCTATGAAAACCGATTACCCGGAACGATTTATTTTGGTGGGAATTCACCAATCTCCAGGAGGGCGGTGGAGGGGGGGGGGGCAGAGGAGGTGTTTTGTCCTCGCGGGGGGGGCGGGGGGAGGAGGTTGATGGGCAGAGAGAAAGCGCGACCTCGGGATCCCGAAACCTGGGGAGGGGCCTGCAGGCTGCGCGTTCTCCGCGGGTCTTTCGGCCTCTGTTGCTCAGAACCAGCGGCTGGGAGTCGCAGGTTTGGGAGCTGCCCGGGAGGGACCGAAGGCACCCTTCTTTCGGGAGGACTTCCCAGCTTGAAGGGGCTGAGGACTCCAGGGAGGGGGGGAGGCTTCCCGTTACCGACTGGCGACCCACGGCACCGACCCCGGGCCAAAGCGGGTGCTGCTTCCCCGGGACCTGGGCAGGACTTTACGCCTTTCAAGAGCTCCGGTGCCTTTCAGTAACGCAAAGTCAAGAAGAAAAAAAAAAAAACAAACAAGCTCTTTGTAAACAGCGTTTTCTGCTTCTTGCGAATTCCTCCGCTTCAGGGGACCCAACTTGTGCGGTGGAGCCGCCCCCGTGGAGCCGCCCCAGTGCGGCGGGTCTCCCCCGGCGCCAGGCCGGCCGGACTCGCGGCCTCTTCCCCCGGCTCGCCCCTCCCCCCACTGGCTCCGCGCTCCCTTCTCGCTCAGGCCCCGGCTTCCCGGTGTCTTTAAATTCGGAAGGGGGCGAGGGGGCCAGATCCGCGAGGGAGAGAGGGGGGCCCCCTTTCAAATGGCCCAAATTAATGCGATCGCGACATGAGGGTGCACTTGGGGAAGATGAAAGCGGAGGCCGGCCGGCCCCTCCTCGAGCTCTATAATTATAGATAATATATCCCATTTCAAAGCAATTAGACCAATCAGGCGTAACGAACCACTTTGCTGCCGACGAATAACAAAGGCGCACGGTTATTTAAGCCTGGAGATGTCAGGCGGACCCGGAGGCTCCGGCCCCACCCCACCCCCCCCCCCCCACCCCCACCCCCAAACGTCGTGCACCGGGCTCTGCCCACCCCGGGGCCCGGGAAGGCTGGCCCTCTCCCCCCAGGCTCTGCCCGGCCCGCAGAGGGCCCGTCCCAGTCCCGCGAGGGCCCGCAGGGAGGGGCAGGGGGTCGGGAGGAGTGGTGGGGAGGGATCTGGCGCACACCGAGGTGGATGTCAGGCCCCTGCGGGAGGGTTCGCAGGCTCGATCCGATTTCATCCTCTCGCCCCCGGGAG